ATATTATTTGAGATATTATATTGTGTCTAATTGCCGTAGCGGTCATAATCCATTAATTGTTTTAAAATATTTATTTAATAATTAATATTTTAATTGAAATAATTAAATAGATTGTATGCTAACTGTTTCAATAAAAACAAATATGTAGTAATATATAAAAATCATTTTAAAAAATCAATTCATTATTATTTATAATGTACAAAACATGTTTTAAAAACCAAAAATAAAGGACAATCCCATCTTTTGTAGGTCAATGCCAAATGTCATATTCATCATTTTTTACATGCTACATTTGGATTTCAAATACATACTTCACTACTTAAATTTATTAGTATGTAGAGATGGCCGGTGGTGGGGCTGATTAGCAATAGTTATGCTGTGGAAACGTGTTCACCATGCACATGGTAGGAATACATGGATAGATCGATAATTTCTATACTGTAGATTTATAATATATTTTATTTTGAAAACGTAGATTCATAATTTTGTTTTTCATTTGTTGTTAACAGGATAGATCCATAATTTCTAAGCTGTAGATTCATAATTTCTATACTGTAAATTCATAACATCTATACTGTAGATTCATAATTTCTATATTGTAGATTTATAATTTCTATACTGTAGATTCATAATTTCTATACTGTAGATTCATAATATCTGTAACAACAAATGAAAAACAAAATTATGAATCTACGTTGTCAAAAAAAAAAAAAAATATGAATCTACAGTATAGAAATTATGAATCTACCCATGTTTTCACCATGCGCATGGTAAACACATTTCCACAGCATAATTTGCGGCTGATCAACCCACTAGACCTAATAAGTGACTAGGGGCCAAAATACTTATTTAGTCTAACACTTTAAAGTTCAAGGTTAATATTATATCCCATCGTTATACCGTGGACCAAGATTCATAGTACATTGTGGATCCAAGTTTTATACGATGGTAATTTGAATTTTAATTTTGAAAGTAACCGTTTGTTGTTCAGTTCACGTAACAAGTTTTTGTTTTTGTTTTTTGTTTTTTTTTTTTTTTGTTTTTTTGTTTTTTTGTTTTTTTGTTTTTTTGTTTTTTTTTTTGTAACTATAAAACATGTGTATGTGTCTTGTGTTATGCGTTTATGTGTCTCATGTTATGCAATTTTGTACCTTTAGCATATGAATTTTGTACTTGAAAGTAAATATAACATGTGCTTTTGTGTCTTGTGTTATGCAATTGTGTACCTTAAGAATATTGATTCTGTACCTGAACTAAAGTAAACATAAAACATGTGTATGTTTCTTGTGTGATGCGTTTCTGTGTCTCATGTTATGCAATTCTGTACATTAAGCGTATGAATTCTATATTTGAAATAGATTAATAGTTTTGTAACACACAACATATTATGTGTCTTATTTTACGAATTTATGTCTTGTATTATAAAATTATGTGATTATAGGACATATATTATCTACATAAATCAAATTTGACAATAAGCAACTATAAATAATTTTTTATTGTACATTATAACACTATACCTAATTCTTAAATTAAAATTCTTACATTAGAACTAAGATAACACATCAAGAAAATGTCACATTATTTTTTTTGGTGTAAACCACACACTGTGGTCCAGGTCTTTCTCTATCCGTTTAACGGTCCAGGTCCACCCGGTTCGCTCCGAGAGGTACAGAAGCTAGCCCAAAGGGAATCCTCATTTGTGGGAATCGAACCCAGGTTATCCCGAAATTCTCCCCCACAAAGAGAGCTCATTTGCCACTTGAGCTACCCTGTTGGGTTAGAAAATGTCATATTATATTACACCATTAAACATTGAATAAAAAAGTATGGAAGTTCATCTTCCCTCCAAGATGCATTTGCACGTTTTAAGTATCCTAAATTAGCTATGATATGATGCATGCATGCATGCATTCTTAGATGCTTCAATCAATCATTTTCACAAAACTCCAAAAACAAAACAACAAAAGATACTACCAGGTTGCGGGTGTGACATAACTTTATTCATACCATCAATCTATTACTAAAACTAGGAAAAAACATTCCTTCAAATTTACATTTTTCTTTTCATATGTTTAGTATCCTACAAGCTAGGTTAGTTCATACAATTTACTATAAAGATGTATGCAATATATGAACTTCAAATATTGTCCTCTCATTATTTTATTTATTGCTTCATTATTTTTTAGCTAAATTGATTACAGTAATATTCTATATAAATCACAATTTAAAAGTTCAAACATAGTGTGATGAATATTGACATCTTTTTAAATTTTCTTCTTCTTTAGATTAATTATATTTATGTAATGAATTTCATAGTAGTTAATTAACAAAGAAGTGGTCATATTATTCTGAGCAATAATCATGTGTAAAATGTAATAATCGATCTATTAAGACATTGTGTCTATTATATTATAAATGAAATGGACAGTGATTTGAACTAAGTTAAAATTTGAATATTTAGATTAGACGTATAGTCATATTATTGTATCTGAATATTTTATTAATAATTTATTCACATTTTAAACAGTTTATTTAACAATTGCTCAATAATTAGATTATTATGATAATGAGTAAATTATTAATTAGCATTATTATTCAATCATTGAGTAATTTACTCTAATTTGACTCATACTTTACCTTTCTTTATGTTATGATGGTACATTTTTGTTAATTACATTAATTTTTTCATAAAAAAAGGTTGTGACTTCTCTTAAAATAAATATGTTATTCCACCCTTATAGAAATGTAGTATATGTATATACAAATTTACAGTAGGCAGTTGATGGATATATTAGGAACGGGATCGGGGCAAATCGACCCGGGAGGGCCGGCACGAAAGGCCTAGGGCGGCCCCGGCTGGGGCCGACCAAGGCCTCGGCCTACGTCGGCCCAGAAGCATGAGACGGCCGACACGAAGGGCCTAGGGCGGCCCCGGCTGGGGCCGACCAAGGCCTCGGCCTACGTCGGGGCCTACGTCGGCCCAGGAACATGAGACGGCCCCGAGTGCCCGCGTGGACCCGGTCAAGGCGCGATCCAACCGCCCCGCGAGAATAGGGGGGTTGATTGGGAGGTTAGCTAGTATAAAAAGAGTGATTATTGTCTGGGTTAGGACATCTACTTATTATTATTACAACATTTCACCTTGTAACCCTTCTACAACTATTATCAATACAAAGTTGTCCCCGCGACACACATCTTTCCTATCCCTTATTTATCGGGTTTAGTGATTCGGGTCTATCCCGGATTAATTAAATCCATCAGCAGTAAAAAGGGGATCATGAATTTTTATGATAAAACTGAATATAATAATTATTTGAATGAATCTTAACACGTGATGAAGAACCTAGTGTTCTAATGTTCTATGCAGCTTCTTGTGGCCAGGAATACATGCGTAAGTCTCAAAAAGTGCTTGCAAATTGCATATTGATAGAGAGATTGGAAACGACTCAAAAATAGGGATTTAGAGTTCGAAAGTCCATAACTCAGGGTTCAAGAAGGTGGCCCGAGCGATTCAAGACTTAAAGTCCAAAAGTCCACCACCCGGATAGAGAGCAAGGGCCCCCAGGGCCAGCCTCTAAAACCGGCTCCGAGTCAATAGTTATTCTCACCTTGGAGTCTGTATCCAGGCTCGGAATGATGAGTCTTGACTTAGTCTTGTGGCCACCCTATTTTTAGGGGTTTTAGTGGGCCCCTACTTGCACTGCTGGAAATTATGGAATTTTCGACCACCTGAAAGTGATCTTAAATCAAGTCAAAAACTTGTTCCGACCACGTTTGGTATCCGGAAAAACCTTTGTTGCTATTTCTGACCACTTTTTACTTTCGACTTGATTTAAGATCACTTTCAGTTGGTCGGAAATTCCATAATTTCCAGCAATGTTGATAGATATTAATTTGTCTTAACCTAGAGTCCTACACAATCATATTTAATATTTTATTCTTACACAATATCCATTGTAATATTCTTACATTTGTCCATGCATATCATTACAATTATTTTCTTTACTATTTTATCATTTATTATTTATGCGAACTTATTGATTCATGCATACCCTGAATCAATTTGTTCCATTACATATTCAAATATAATATATATTCAAAATTTACGGAAGGATTGGACGAGTGAATAGAGTAAGATTTTTGAGTAGGAGGTACGTACTAAAGTGTTTTTCTTATATTCAAAATTTTTGAGTGCCGGCCTCTTATTTCGTTGCAACCTACAAAAAAATGGAATAATTTTCTTTTTTTTAAATTCCATACTAATTAAGCACTATTTAATCACAAATATTTAAACTATATACTATATAACTTTAGTGGGCTTTCTGACGTAACCAAAACAAATTAAAGTACTACATAACTCTATTTGCTTTTATTTATGTTAAATTTGTTTTATTTGCTCAGAGATTCCACATCTGTGAAGTTTGGTTAGGTTTTTGTCTACTTGGTTACGTTAAGCCTTTATGTTTTTTTTTTTTTTTTGATAAATTAAGCCTTTATGTAATTAATATGATAATTGATAATATATAAGGGAAAATGACACTTTTTCCCCCTGTGTTGTTTACATATAGCATATTTTCCCCCTGTGTTGTTTATGTAACCACTTTATCCCCCTCAATTATTTTTAAAGTGGCTATTTTCCCCCCTCTCCGTTAAATAAGTGTTAGAACTGTTAAATATGAGGGTAAAAATGACATTTCACTTATTATTATTATTATTATTATTATTATTATTATTATTATTATTATTATTATTATTATTATTATTATTATTATTATTATTATTATTATTATTAAGCCTTTATGTAATTAATATGATAAATTAAGCCTTTATGTAATTAATATGATAATTGATAATATATAATGGTTAACAACTAAAAAGTAAATTAGTTTGCATTAGATTTAGAAATTATTTATTGTTGATCCCTTGTCAACTTTGCACTAAACTCAAGTATTTAAGTGCAGTAATTAAGAAAATGACAAATGTGACAGCAGCTCAGCTAGCTAGCAATTAGCCAAGCTTTAATTTAATTTCGTGCAATCCAACTCTTCTACCAATTACTTTCATATGATATCAATTAAGTACTTAAAAAAAAAAAAAAAAAAAAAAAAAAAAACCAGTGCTGAATCTATAGCCTGTTCCACTGCTCTTTAATGAGTGATGAAAGGGAGCAATCCCAGCGCACCAATAAGCACAAACTGGAAAACAAAATTAAATTAAACCATGTAAAACTGTGATTATATTGCTTCAGATATTCTTGTTTACTGCTACCTAGTATATATACACCACACAGGCATTATATTCATAGGATTTGAAGTTTCAGGAAGCTAATGAATCACAGAAGAAGAGATCAAACATACCTTAACAATTGGCTTTGCAGTCATAATAATGGTCACATAGCCAACATAGGGTAAAAACCTGTCAATGACAACAATGAATGGCATAAGATCAGACTTTTACAAGTTTGGTTAAGTACCCTGTGTTCTAATAACACCGGAAAAGGTTTCAGGGTTCGAATCCCATATAGTACTAATAGCTTAGAATGTATCCAAAAAATAAGTTCGGTTCAAAAACGTCAGCTTGTTCTCATATTTTTGCATATGCAGAAGTTGTAAAAGAAAAGAATGAGGCAAGAGGTTTTACCCCACTGCTCTGCCAATGATATGGTGTCGATTCAGCCATTGCTGACCGGGAGAATATAAACCTCTGTCATCTTCTGGATTGTTATCCCCTGAAAACCAAAATTTGGAAGATGAAGAATGTTCATCAAAGTGTCAATATATCGGAACAATGGAATCAAATATTGAGCATGAAGGCACCTTTGGTTAGGATATCAAATTCTCTGCTGTCATTCCGTTGGTGAACCTGCAAGTTAAGGTCACATGTATTATAATTTGGTCTGTCCATATCCTCATTGCTTCAACTTCATATATAGGTCATGCTTACAAAACAAAGAATATACAAATCCAGTTACCTTGATCACACGGTGAACAATTGGAATGGAACGACCCTGAAACACGAGGTAAAACACCTTATTAATTGTGTCCTTGCCCACGATTTAGAACAGATTGAGCTGCCCGTGTGGGCTTTATGAATGAATCGTAAAGATAAAGTTTGATGAGTGGAATAGGGAAAGTAAAAAAAAAATAGGGCTCTTACATCCACATTAAAGACCACTATTTCCCCAGCTCTTATAGGATCATCATTCATGGTGAGGAACAAAATATCACCCTGAAAATTGAAAAGTAATAAGCTACAACTCAAGTACATACTACACATACAAGTATATTCAACAGGAAAATTAACCCAACGGGGTAGTTCAAGTGACAAATGAGCTCTCTTTGTGGGGAAGAATTTCGGAATAATCCAGGTTCAATTCCCCCCTGGACAAGCTCCCGTGCCTCTCGAAGCCCGTAAGACGAACAGAAAAAGACCCAGTACACCTCGCACTACTGGTGATCTTAAATCAAGTCTAAAACAAAAAGTGGTCGAAAATAACAACAAAGATTTTTCCGGATACCAAAAGTGAATCTAAGATCACTTTCAGGTGGTCGGAAATTCCATAATTTCCAGCAGTGTCGTGTTACATACCCTCTTGATGCCGGGTTCCATGCTTCCAGTAAGAACAACAACTATAGGAGATTCACACCCAGTAACACATACCAATCCCTTCCAAATCATCAGTGCAGATGCTACAATCATACCTGATGAACTCATCAAAACCATGAAATATTATATTAATGAAGTCTTCTACAACCAAAACCCCTAAAGCTGAAAACTTTATTCCCTTTTCCCATCCCATCCAACTGCCCACATTCCCAATAAACCAGTAAAACATCTTTAACCCTCCATTGAGCAACTACTTTTTCAAGGAACAGAAACCTTGATATATATGATCAACATTTTATGTATAACAAGGAACAGCCAATGTTGGGCAATGGGTTTTCTAAATCCAAAACATAAACATAAAAATAATACAGGTTGGAAACATATATATACACAGACATAATATGTTAATATACATACAAACAAACACAGAAAGGCATTAAAAGGGAGCAGGAGAAGTAGAGATTAAGGAGGAACCAAGGGTGATAGCTTGAGAGAGGGCATGTCTGATCTTGAAAGATTCCATTGTATCTCCTATCCTTCCCATTCTTGATTCTTGAAAATTCAGCTGATTCTTAAGTCCTCTTCTGTTTCTCAGTTTTGTTCTTTTTAGAACTCCCCCTACTCCCCTAGTGCCTATGCTTCCCACTCCTTCGGACTATTCCAAGTTTCAAACATTTGACCACCTTAAAATCAAATCTAAATAAAGGGACTTTCTTGTTTTTTTAAATGTATTGTAACATAATTAGCTTATCAGTCAATTTTGACTTATTTAATTACATTATTAATTATTTGACTTAGTTAAATGAGTGTTTGATTAATTAGCTTTCACTAATAGCTTATTGTTTCAAAATGTAAAAATTTAAAAAGTTGTTCAAAAAAGATTTTTCGATCAATTTTTTGATAAAGTCATTTTGCATGCAATTAACTATCAGCTAACATTTAATTTACCAAATATTTTTTTACAATTAACTAGTATTAGTCAAACACACTAATCCAATCAAGTAACAGCTACGAGTATTTATCAAACACACCCTTTATTTTTATTTTATTTGATCTTTTAAATTTAAATTGTGATGACACCAACTGTGATATCTGATTGGTTGGTTGACATCGACTTAGAGGCGTTGGTTGATCCCACGTGGCGCTCTCCAAACTCACACGATTTGAGTTGCCCCTGAGTTCCATGTTTTATACGATTTTGCCATTCGCCCATTGTTTTGAAACTGGCTTCTATGTGTAAATATGATGAACTTCAAGGGCAATTTGATAAAAATCCATTGATTCTTTATTCTTTTACCCATTTTGGGGGTTCTCAGTTCCAGCTTTGAAGGGAGGTGAATATGGCGCTAACTCTACCGGCTGGGTCCGCGCGTTTGACGGTGGCGCCTCGGGTTCACGTGCCGCGCCGCCGCCTCACTGTTTTCGCCACTGTATCGTCTCCGCCGAGCTCCGGCGGAGAGAAAGCCGTGGATTGGGTTGAGGCAACTGCCAGCTTCTTTGAAGCGGACACTCGCCCCATCATGCTGTTCGACGGTATGCCTCAAAGATTAAAATTTTTATTTCCTTGTGATGTTGTGAATGAAGGAAATCTAAGCGATTACTATACTTTACTGATACAATTGTTGCCTTTTAGTGCCGATATATAAACTTTTATTTGCATGAAACTGAATTTGAATTTGAATTTTCTTGTCCATGTTTGGTTGTACAAATGTCTATGCAATTAAATAATAGTTGTTAGCTCATTTGGTCGATAGGTGTATGCAATTTATGCAACGGAGGAGTGAAATTTGTCCGTGACAATGATAGCCGAAGGTTGGTGTTCCTCCCCCTTCATTTCTTGTTTTTTCAGAAAGAAAGTCCAAATAAAAACTTCTTCAACATGAAATCTCTCTTTTCAATGGATTAAGCAATGGGTATTTGGTTTTCCGTGAGTTGATTTTGCAACTGAGTTCTTGAATTAACTTAAAGACTAGTGTTTCAGATTGAATCCTCATTCCTCCTAGATGTACCAAAAGAAACTTGTATCTTGCTACATTTTTCTAAGGTAAGATATAGTGGCCAAATGGACCAACCTCACTTAAATTGGTCAGACTTTTGGGTATCCACAAGGTTACAAATTTGACTCTCAATAAGAGTTGTCTACTGGGATTCTTGGTTTGAGCCAACCAGCTATGGGTAACCAAACTGGTTTACCTCCTTGTGGTCTTCTGCTGGCTAGAGTCATGAGACGGTGTTTACTTAGTGCTCATCCTCAGTAGTAGTTGTGGGTTTCTCTTGTCACTCAAAAAAAAATATATATATAAAGACCATGTTTTATAAAATAGTTAGCATATCAGTCAATTTTAACTTATTTGACCACTATTATCTGTTTGATTTGGTTAAACAATGAATATGGTTGTTTGATTAATTAGTTTTTTGTAACAACTTATTGCTCCAAAATACTAAAATTCAAAAAACAACTCAAAGTAGTTTTTACGATCAGCTTTTAGAGAAAATCATTTTGCATGTAATCAACTATCAGCTAACGGCTAAATTACCAAACACTTTTTACAATCAACTAGTCAAACTCACTAACCCAATCAACTATCAGCATAGTAGCAAATTTTTCACAATATTAAACTTTTGGTTGAAGCTCTTCTCATTTCACTGAGGCTTTTGATTCCCAGGAGAATTCGGTTTGAGGCTCTACAGAGTGAGGCAGGGAAGAAGCTGTTAAGGAGATCTGGAAGAGCTCCTGATGATATTTCAAGTGTAGTACTTGTTGAAAAAGAGAGGTAATAGCCAATTGAAGTTCCATTTATTGTTAAGCTGATTTACAGAAATAGTTTTGAAAAAACAGAGCTATAATTCATACTCCGTATCAGATAAGAATTTCCTTATTTTGTTTGTACTTAGAAAGATGAGATGTCCATTTAGTTACCAACATAGGTTGCCTTGGATTTCAGGTCGTACGTGAAATCCGAAGCTGTTCTGAGAATCATGCAGTACATAAACTTGCCTTTCCCCCAGCTATCTTTCTTCTTCCAATTTGTTCCTCTGTAAGTCATTACTTCTCCGTACTCTTACTATTTAAGTCCATAAAAACAAGCCTCATCTGCTTTTCTTTTCTTTTGTTTCTTCCACAATTCTTGCAGGTTTGTCCGAGATTTCGCATACGATAATGTCGCTAATAACCGCTATGCATTTTTTGGTCGCTCTGATTCGTGTGAGATATAGAATTGTAGTATTCCATTGTGCCAATAGTTATAGTGTAAATGTATATACATAAAAAAGAAAGAGCAATGTAAAACCAGAATACGGCACATACTTACAAGTAATATTTGCAAACATAAACGTAAATTTGCTAGCACAAATAGCTTAATTAGTTTCTGGATTATGAGAAAAACACAAGATTGAGCCCTAATGGCACAGGGTGTTTGGTTGGATGTAGTTAGAATTCTTTTCCTATCTTATTCCATTGATAAGCAAATTACAGTGTTTGGTTGAAGGTAATTGCTATTCTCCTTCCTTTTGCTGAATTGCAATTCATGGCCACTTGCAATTCGGTGGTTGTGAGAGAAAAAAAGGGAAGAAATGACAAAAGTACCATTAAACATTTTAATTTTATACCATTTTTTTCTTTCTCATTCCCAATAATTCTATTTCCTCATACCAAACAATGTAATTTGAATTCTTACATTATTCTCACCTTATTCATTTTACATCGAATTACAATTCCTTCCCTTCTTCTTTTTTTTTTTTATTGAAAACTATTCCTTTCCTTTTTTTTTTCTTTTTTTTTTTTTTTTGAAAACAATCCATTCTCTTCCTAATTCCTTTCTACCAACCAAATATCCTCTTGTAGTTGTTGTATAAAAATTACACTCAATATGGTGGGCTCTTTGTGGACACCAATTATTAATCCTTCCACCTAATAGATCACTAAGTCATTGTGATTTACCAACTATCTGATAGAGCACTAGGAAATTTTACCTTTGAATGAACAACTAATAACGGGACGTTTAGTTGGAAGGAAGGAATTAAAGGGGAAATGAATTGTAATTCGGTAAAAAAGAATAAGGTGGAATTAAAGTAGAAATTCAAATTACATTGTTTGGTAAAGAGAAATAGAATTATGGAATTAAAGGGGAAATGAATTGTAATTCGGTAAAAAAGAATAAGGTGGAATTAAAGTAGAAATTCAAATTACATTATTTGGTAAAGAGAAATAGAATTATTGAAATTGAGAAGGAAATAAGTGGTATAAAGACTAAAATACCCTTATGTAATAATAATAATAATAATAATAATAACCAAGAATAATAATGTCATTTCATATGTTTTTCCTTTCTCAAATTCATTGAATTGCAATTCTATGGGGTACCCCATGAATTGCAATTTATTTTGTGGAATTGCAATTCCCTATAACCAAACAATGTAATTGAGACACGCATTGAATTGTAATTAAACTACAACTAAATTACAGTGAACCAAACGCTCTATAATATCAGCAATAAAATGTGTTTGTCTGGGAAGTTCAACTGATCACAACGTGAAATTTGTAACAAACATAAAAGGGTAGACGGGTAGTTGAAATTGATGAGATAATGAATATGTCCATGAGACGTGCAGAAGAGTAAAAGGCCATTGAAAAATGCGACGAAGCTAATCGTCACGACCTAGCCCAGCAAGGTTGTACAAAATCGTCACAAAAACAGACAACGAACTCCATAGCCATTCTGCCTTAGCTTTGGCACCAGCACCGGAGCAATAGTCAAACCCATACCAGATACCTGCCGGAATAGGAACGTCGTAGTGGAACGTGACGGCCTTGGTATAATACCCGTAGACCGTAATATCATACGGTATCCACCCATCATACCCGCTCCTGTACACGTACAAGTAACATATCTGATACGTACACGGCCCGGATATCTCGTACGTATCCGTGGAGCACCGCTCGAATGTCCCGGTAGACGGGTCATCTAACCTCGGAGCATATACCTTAACCAAAGAACAGCCGACAGCGGATCGGAAATTCTCAGATTCCGATGTTCGAGAAAGTTAAGGACGAGAAAGAGAGAGAGAGAGAGCGAACCTGATTGCCATAAGCGTCGCCAAAGGAAAGGCTGATTTGGTCTCGTGTGCGTGAAGGTGAAGAGCAGCTGGTGCTTATGCTCACTGAGAAAACACAGCTCCCCCCATTCTGTATATCCAAAACAAACAGTGATTTACAGAAAATTTGTTGAGAAAATAGTGATTTTTGCAGAATATTTGAAGATTTAGCAGACCTGGTGGGAAAGAGCGGTTGTGTTGATGTTGAAGGAAGGGAGAGCAGGTTGGGGGAAACCAACAATTGAATTCAATCTAGCCTGAGAGTGAGAGATTGGAATGAACAGTAAAATCACAGCGAAAAACAGAAACACACACTCTACTACTTTACTCATTTTCATCTTTTCTTTTACTTTACTGATTTTCTCCTCTCCTCTCCTCTCCTCTCTGGAACTCAACAGCCAGCCTTAGATGAGTGGTTGGTCACGCTTTAATGGGCGCAACAAATTTAATGCCCGGTTGGGCTCTACAAGTACCGATTAGCCTAGTACTACACGCTGCTGCTGAGGGTATATCAGTCATTTCCTCTTTTAAGTCTATATGGGTGAAACAGACCATCATTATTGTGTGACCATATTATCAAATAATATATATTTAAAATAAAATAATATACTTTTAGTATATTAAAAATATATATTGTATTTAAAAAAATACATTATTTGAATACTGAAAATATATATTCAGTACACAAATATATATTTGTGTGAAACAGAGGGCAGAGATCTGTTCCTTAATGCTTAAGGGTTAAGGGGATTGGATTATTGGATAGGCTAATGAGATTGGGTCTATGGAAGAATAATACTATTATTTGATATATGGTTAATAACATGAAGAAAATTGGGTATAAAATATATATATTTACATATTTATCAGTATTTAATTTTTTAATAATTATAATGGATAGAATTAATAATAAGTAAGTTGTTATAAATAATATACAATTATATTATTTTATTTGTGGTTTTTTTTGTTTTAAAATCTAAATGGATTGCTATATGTGGAAATATAAATTTCTATACCAGCCAAGACGTCAATGTCTCTCCAGCATTCTTTCCTATGGGTTGTCAAATTTTAATTAGGAATCAGTCTATGGAATAGTCCAAATTTGGCCAATTAAGATTTTATACGACAATTTTCATGGTTTTTTTAAAATATATATTTAAAATTTGAATAGCAAAATAAGTAAGAAATTAAATGAAAATTTGTCAATTAACTAATTCCTTTTTTTTTTTTTTGTTTCCTTTTCATTTTTATACATTAATTAAATTCCAATGAATGTTTATTTCTCTCTAAGACAAGACAACACGTTTGACCTTCAAATTTTACTCAGCAAATCAAATTAAACGTGGTGTAAAAAATATGGATTACAATTTTGCATTGACCATAATTTGGTCCAACTTGTGAAAGGATAAAAATATCCTAGCTTCCTTAACCAAAAAGAAATCTAATAAATAAGTCAAAAAATGTGTTCGAGTTAGTAGGTCATAAATTTTAAATGGTTATTTTGTAATATAAATATATATGAGACACACATCCGATTAAGTCGAATCAAAGTAAATTTGAGTTGTAAAATTTGTGCATGAAGTTTCATACTCGAAAGAAGTTGGGGTTATATGAGGGGATAAACCCTCGGATCCGTGATGTTATTTATAGGTCATTCAAAAACACCTACATTATCTAAGATGTCCAAATATAAACCATTTCCTAGCAAGTTGACAAGGGATATAACAAGGAGCATCCAAGTCTTTTGGCCGAAACTAATTAAAGGAATTATTCTATACATGACTTAGTCGCAAATTATGTTGTGCAACTCGGGTGCACCATGTGTGGTGCACACGGTTGCAAAAACGACGTCGTTTTGACTAAAAACGCGCGTCCTACTTTAAAAAATAAAACTAAAAATCAGGTTCGATTCCCGATAATAGCATTTTTTTTATGCATAATTTGAATTATATATCCATAATGAATGAACTAAATATTCACAATGAATGAACTAAATATCCCAATGAATGAACTAAGTATCCACAGTGAATGAATAACTAAAAATTCAGAATGAATAACTAAAAATCCAGAATGAATGAACTAAAAATCCAGAATGAATGAAATAAATATCCACAATGAATGAACTAAATATCCACTAGGGCAGTGCATATCCGATGGAATCCGACGAACCCGCCCGGTCCGAAATTCGCAACAGAGCATCCGACCCGATCCGTACCCGAAGAAGCGTTATCCGAACCGAAGGCACAAACAACGTCGGATTAGAGGTTTCGGATAGGGTAGTGTAAAATCGCATCCGACCCGCCCGAACTATCTGAAATATATTAGGGTCTGCACACCCCTAGTACTACACGACGTCGTATTAGCTAAGTATATAGGCGTATGTTGATCAACTCATTTACCCTAGCTCTTCATTTGCACAGTCGCAGACCTGAGACCTCAGCTTCTCTATTCTCTACTCTCTAGACTCTTCGTCTCTTCTCTGAGACTCTGAGTTCTCTAGTCTGATCTTCTCACTTCTTACTTCTTAGTTCTCTGATTCTCTGAATCTCTAACTCAGAGTTTGATCTCTTCTCCTCTCTTGTTCTCCGATAGTCTCTCTCTGAGTCTCTGTTACTTTAGAATCCTAGTTCTAAAGTCTGATTCTCTCGAATCTCAGACATCTCCGAGACTCCGATAGTCCAATTGTCCAGTACTCCGGTGGACGGTGGTGGAAGCCCTTCTCGTGGTGATTATAGAGTAAAAACCCTTGTTCTCCGGGGAATATTCAGGGGAAATCAAGTAAAGCTGAAACCCTAGTTTTTATATTTATGATTTGTTGATTTTATTCACTACATGTTGATTTGTTTGTGTTGTATTATGAATATGTTAATTTTTTTTTTTGTGGAAGCTGTTGTAATCGCAAACCCTAGTTTTTTTTTGTATGATTTGTTGATTTTAGTCACGGGCTCATTGAATGTTGATTTATTTGTGTTGTATTATGAATATCAGAATATGTTATATTTTAATGGTGGAAGCCCTTAACTGTGACTTGTGATATATTCTGATTATCTGATGTTTTGAATCTTCTGATGGTGGAAGCCCTTAGGCCTTAACTGAAATGTGTTGTGATTATCTGATGTTTTGTGATGTTATATTGTTATGTGATCTATTCTGAAATCTGAATTGTGATGTCCCTTAAAAAGTTAAAGGCTTAAATGTGAAATGGTGGAAGCCCTTAACTGAAATCCAGATAATGATGAACTGGATAAAGTTCCTGAATCTGAATTTCTTTGTGAATATGTTTATGGATGTATGACCCTTAAATGTTCTTAACTGTTTGTGCATAATGTAAATATGTAAATATAATATTATGAAATCTTGATAGATGATGACACAAACAAGTGTCTGAATCTGGATTTCTTCAATTGTTTGTATGCTTGAATGCTTGATCTGTTATTCTGTATGACAAACAACCTAGTTCTGGACCACAACCTTCAACTCAGGAGGGACAAGGACAACCCCAAGGCACTGAGGTACCTCAGCAGCCTCAGGTGACTCCTGTTGTTCCACAGAAAAGGAGAAAAGAAGTTGAGTCCAGATCTAGGGTGTGGGAGCACTTTGTAAAGATACATGATAAAGAGAACAATATGATTGAGGGGAGGTGCATATATTGTTCTAAGATATTTTGTTGTCAGCCAAAAAAATATGACACTTCCTCTTTAAGAAATCATATGGTGGTCTGTCTTAAAAATCCTCACTTGAAGGATACAAGGCAGTCACTTCTGACTTTCAATGCTGTCTCATCCTCTGCACCAGAGGGTTCTGAAGGGGTAATGGGGGAATTAGGCACATGGGTGTTTAATCAGGAAGCCATTAGGAGGGCTTTGTGTGAGATGATTATAATAGATGAGTTGCCCTTTAGGTTTGTTGATGGGATAGGGTTTAGGAGATTTATTCTAGTTGCCTGCCCTAGCTAGGTTCCAAATCCCTTCTAGGTGGACAGTTTCAAGGGATATTTTTCAAAGATACCTAGATGAGAGATCAGTCCTTAAGCAAAATTTTAAGGGTTGCTCCCAAAGAGTCAGCTTAAACATTGACACATGGACCTCTGTACAGAGGATAAACTACATGTGCATTAATGCACATTTCATTGATGATCGGTGGAAGCTCAACAAAAAAAATCATAGCCTTTGTCCCCGTTTCATCTCATAGGGAAGAGTATATAGCCAAGGCCTTGGAGACTTGTCTGGTTGAGTGGGGTATTAAGAATGTTTTTACTGTCGCAGTTGACAATGCCTCTTCCAATGATACTGCCATGGGATTTTTTAAGAGTAGGTTGATGTCTTGGGGTACCACTTCTGTAAGGTCTAAGTACATGCACATGAGGTGTATAGCCCACATTCTGAATCTGGTGGTGCAAGATGGGTTGAAGTTTGCTGATAGTTCAGTTAAGAGGGTTAGGGAAGCAGTTAGATGGGTTAGGAACTCCTCTGCAAGGCTAAAAAAATTTAGAGATCTTGCTGAACTTATTGGGATGGAAGCCAAATCAGCTTTGCAGCTGGATGTTCCTACAAGATGGAATAGCACATATATGATGCTGAACACTGCAATCCAGTACCAGGCAGTCTTTGATGCCTATTTGGGAAATGATTCCTCATTTTCTGCTGACCTTGGTACCTCTGTGCCTACTTTTATGGATTGGTTTGATGTGAAAAGTTTGGTAACTCTGCTAAAAACTTTCTATGACATGACTGTGAGAATTTCTGGTTCTCTTTATGTGACATCTAACACTTTCTTCAGTGAGATCTCTGATCTTAGTTGCATGTTAGATGACATGACTGGTGGTGAATCTGGATCTGAAAAGGTAAATTCCATTCCTGTTAAAGTGTTAATTGTTTAACAAATCTGTCTATTAACAAATGTTAATTCTTTGCTTTTTTTTTTTTTTACAAGAAATGGGCACCCAAATGAAAACTAAGTTTCTGAAATATTGGGGGGACCCTGAAAAAATGAACTGTGTGATCTTCTTTGGCACTATTTTGGATCCTAGAGATAAGGTTGAGTACATGTCTACCCAGTTAACTCAACTTTATGGTGATGATAAAGGCAAAGCCTGTTTTGAGAAGGTCCAATCTGCACTTCTTGAGATGTACAATGATTAGGCTGCCACTTACTCTGTGGATGTGAACACTGTACCAGCTGTTGTTGCCCAACCTTCTCAACCTGTGAGTGTGCAGCCTAGTGCTGTAACTGTTGGTAGGCCACAAGGTAAGTTGAAAAGTCAATTGAAAAGGCAAAGGATGGAGAGTGGTGGAAGCCTTAAACAGACTGACCTGCAAATATATTTGAGTGGCCATTGTGGAAGATAAGGTTGATTTTGATATCCTAAAATGGTGGAAGGTGAATTCTGAAAGACTGCCAATTCTCTCTAAAATGGCAAAGGATATTCTTGCAGTTCCA